AACCCTGCTTCGGCAGGAGGGTTGGACTAGATGACCCACAGAGGTCCCTTCCAACCCCTACCATTCTGTGATTCTGTGATTCTGTACTTTGCAGCACTACACTGTAATACTGTGCATTAGTATGCTCACATGAATATTATGGAAGACATGACATTTAGCAAGATGTTGCATTAGACAGAGTGGGAGATCACATTTGAGAAGCATGTTTGATAGATATATATTTTTTCAATATCACTATATTACCGGGGTATTATTGCATAAGTGTATGCTATAATGTTTATATATATATTGCATAAGTGTATGCTATAATGTTTATATATATATTGCATAAGTGTATAATACTGAAGTATTATTCCCTAAGTGTATGCAAATGCACCTATCTATCTATGAATACAAGAACCACAAATATGCATGTTATTTTCCAAGACATACTTAACAGGTTTGAAGCTTGAGCCATGCCAATGGAGATCAGGGGCGATCCTTCATACGTAGCAGACTGGATGCTAGGTTCACCAGGACTGAACTCTGCCCAAAGACTGGAAAAGAACAGCAATATATAAAAATTTGTTACTAATATAAATGTGCCTGTCCCACACCTTCTGAGATTTCAAAGCAATACTGGTTTCTTTGACAGTATGATCAATGCTTCAAGATGAAAATGAAGGCATCAAGTGCCCTTATTGTCTCTTATTTTATTTATATTTACATTACTTCATTTCAGTACCTGTGCTGGAGGTGAATGGTCTTGTGTTACCCAGTCATGCCCCGGGACTTGCAGTATTGAAGGAGGCTCCCACATTTCAACATTTGATGAGAAATATTATTCCTTCTTCGGAGACTGTAGCTATGTTCTCACCAAGGTAAAAATGAATCACAATCTTTCTGAAACTTAGAGGGTCAACATGGAGCCTTAAATGGATTCCACGGGGCCTTCTGTTAGGGTTATATTAACTAAACATATTGTGGTAGTTTTGTGTTCTTTGATCATCGTTTAAGAATTCTACTGAGTTTTTAGGTTCCATGAAAAAACTCCATTCTTCCCACTAGTGTTCTAACAAAATATTTCCTGTCTGTTGTTTTATAACTACTTCTTTCTGAGCAATATGCTATTATGTCCGTTGGTACTGTCCTTTTTGTCACAGTCAATATAGTTCAATGGCTTGATTAACAATAATTCGTAATAGAATTACTATTATACAAAATTCATGGGAGAGGACTTATTTCACTAAGATGATCGACCTTTCAAATAGTCTTTCCCAGTAAACACAGAAGTCACTAGAGTCTAAAAGCAAAAATCTAAGAATTCGTAAGTGTATTCTAAAACCTGAATTAGAAATTGATGACTTACAAAAATATCTAAGATTTACTGGAGTATTTAGATTTGTAGGGACTGAATTCTGAGTAGATATATCTAAAATAATGACTACAGATTTGCATATTTCAGAATCCTAAGTATATTTGTTGTTTTTTTGTATTGGATGAATGATGTAAACAGCTTTCATAAAGACTTCATATTAAATAAAACCTATTCTCAAAAAGTTTAAACTGAATGCTACCAAGAAAGAGAACCATAACAACTTAGAAATGAGCTATAATGAGGTAATTTAAAAATAGATTAGACAAAATCAATTAAACTTTTTGATGACATACACAAGCACTGGGCTCAATCCACAATGGGAGCATAGGTCAGACTTACACGTTAAACTCCCATTTTGGCATCAACACATAAAATTAGATTCTCAGATGCTCTGGAGGTACCAAAAACCCTACACTTGAACACAAAAAGTCAAAAAGCCCACAATCTTAACACTAAATTTCAGATGGCTGTAGTTCTGCATCTCAGTTTTCCTCTATTTAATCTTCATTATGCCAAGAAAGTGATAAGACATGCTCAGAATCGTAGCCTTCTGCATGTTTCCTTGTAACATCTTGGCCATTAAGCACACTTTGAATATAGCTCACAAGACAGACCCCAACAAAAAGCAGAACCAAGATAAAAACTGAATTTTGCCATTAATCAGTAGCTTAGCGAAAAGTGATTTTATCTTAATTTTCTCCTATGAGAGCACATTTAAATGCAAAAAGTTAAAAAGGAATGTCCAAATCACCAAGCACTTTGGTAATTTATTCATTGCAGAAGAGACTGGAAACAATTTCTCTCCCACGTAAACACCATAACCAAAGGGCAAAAGAGGCACACTACTTTCTTCTTCTCTAGCGTATTAAACTATTATTACCTAAACATTAGGAAGTTTTAATGTTCAGCTCAGTGTGTTTAATTTCCCCTTAAATGTCAGAAGTAATGGATAACTTCCACTGTCCAGACTGCATGAATGTCAGATTACCTGATGACTGTATACATATATGTAAGAACATATGAGCAGGAAGAAAAGGAATAAGCAATATTTTAGAAGAATCACTTTACTAAGAATGCAATTTGAGTGTGAACCTTTTTAACATAACAATATTTTAATATAACAAATCCTTTTAACAATATATTTTGTTTTCTTCTTCTAGCTCTGTGACAGCAATGAATTTACGGTGCTGGGAGATATACGCAAGTGTGGCCTGACTGACACTGAGACATGCCTGAAGGGTATAGCCATCAGCCTAAGTGGAGGACAAACTGTAAGTAGCAAATGTAGACACCTAACATTCTGCAGAGATGCTTTCAAAGCTTAACAGACAAATAGTTTTCAAATGACACTCAACAGCACAGACAGGAAATCTGAACTGATTTTTTGTTTTATCTCATTTAAGCATTATTCAAAGAAAAATTGAGAAAAATAGGTACATTGGAAGTGAAGGTCTTCATAGTTTTCTGTCATTTAGTAATCTTTGGGCTTTTGCTTGTTTGTTCTGACAGTCAATGGACTATAATAATAAAGATTAAAGAAATAGTATGGGAATGAAAACATCATCATAGTCTCCTCCCACTTGTTTTTCATTTATCCTGAACAATAGTAGATATAAAACATTTGGAACGTGGTTTACCTTTCTAAATGTGCTTGATAATCATTGCCTTTTCTTGTGGGCAGAATATTGTCATCCAGCCTTCTGGCAGTGTATTTGTGAATACGATTTACACACAGCTGCCATTCTCTGCAGGTAAGTTCCTTTGAAGACTTCTGTGATGTTTCTCATTTTTGACTTTAGTATGTCATTACAGAGGTTAACCTAAAGTCCAATTCTGCCTTGGGTTACACTGCAGCAAACCCAAGGTACTCCAGTAGAGCATAGTCTCTCGTTTTTAAGGTAATAGGATTTGCCTATTCAACTTTCATAATTTCAGCAGAATTATGGTTTAATTTTAGCAATATCTAATTAAATGGAAATTCATGTCAAGCAAATAGTATCATTGCACACTTCCAGATCCAAACACTGCCATAAGAGAGGAAAGAAAAATTCTAATATGCAACAAGAATCCGTTATTTCAAGTTCTCTATTTCCTTGTTTTCCCTCTGTTCCTTTGCTTGGTGCACATTTTTCACTGGAGAGTTTCTCTCAGGACAGTTCTACTCAGAGACTAATGCAGCTGAACAGAAAACAAACCATGAAAGGACAGAATAGGTCCAGTCTGGAGTCTACCACTAAATCATGCTTTAACATTTTCATCAAGTAAAGATGGTCTTTTAAGTAGCAATAGAATTGTGTTTTCTTCCTCTTATTTTAAAACACCTCACAGAAAGTGGAGAGGTTTTATGCATTTGTTGCTTAGAGTAAATACAGCCAGCTTTGGTGCTGGATTTGAAATACTGTATGGACAATGATTTCTCCCAGTTCTTCAGAAATTAGGATCATATCAAACACAGCTGTAGAATCCCTATATATAATGAACAGTTATTTCAACTGCTCATCTCAGATGAAATTATAACTCTTACGTTGTTACATCCCTAGCAAACGTCACCATCTTCAGACTATCATCTTACTTCATCATTCTGCAGACAACGTTTGGTCTTCAGCTACAGGTTCAGCTCGTGCCTCTCATGCAACTTTTTATAGATTTAGACCCATCACATAAAGGGCAGACCTGTGGTAAGTGATCTTATCGTAACAACTGCCTTCATAAGTATACTTCATTCTGTAGGAGACTTTCACAGCCCATCTGCTTCCTTTCAGGTCTCTGTGGAAACTTCAATGACATGCAGACAGATGATTTCAAAACCACCAGTGGTGTAATAGAGGGTACTTCAGCTGCCTTTGGCAATACTTGGAAAACTCGGGCTGATTGTCCTGATGCCAAAAATACCTTTGAGAACCCCTGTACTGTCAGCATACAAAATGGTAACTTCAGCATATAGTGACATCTTCTATTCTCTTTTAAGACGGGAAGAAGGAATAAGCTGATCAATCACCAAGCATTTCGCCAAAATAACAGTGGACCATTTGCACACACACTGTTTTCCCTAGCTGACACTAGAAGTCTTCAAATAATAAATAATAACTAGGATCATATTTTGGATCTTTAAAAATACTCCTTTGGATATAGAAAGCAAGCGTTTTTGCCAACTTACTTAAGGGAAACTGGAACCATACAGCGTATCAGGGACCCATTCCTGGAAAAGACTGATTGTCATATAAGAAAAATGCTTTGCATAACTGCACTGAAGGTGGGACTCAATGTGGTCTTTCCACTGTTAAACTGAGAACCAGACTTACAGTTCAGAGTTTCATAGCTCTCTGTTTCCATTTCAGCCAATGAAATATGTAGTTTTTGAGTATTCATCACAAGCCACTGTTCTGTTTTCTGAGATGAACTAGTATGTTTTTAAATCACAATGTGAACTTTCTTTTTCAAAATCCAGCTAAGGATGTCTTATTTCATTCCATGACAACTACTATGAATTAAGAGCATTCAGTTTATGAAGAGTGTATTTCTGTATAGAGGCAGTGAAAAATTGTTTGTGTTTCAGCAAACTCAGAGCTGTATTCTGTTGTAAAGTTAAGCTTCTGCATTTTCCCTGCAGGAAGCAGAGTTACACCAAGACAAAAGTTTAGACAACAAAGTGCAATAGAAATTCTTACAATGTTTTCAATTCACAGACCAGTATGCGCAGCACTGGTGTGGACTGCTCTCTGATACCATGGGACCTTTTGCTGAATGTCACTCAACAGTGAATCCTGAAGTTTACCAGAAGGTACTTGGCTCTTAACTCTTTTCTATTTAAAAGATAAAGACTCAGATTTGTGCTAGTAACACCTGAGAGAATAACTTGCCAACTGGCAGAAGATGTATTCATGACAGTTTTTTTCAAGCCAAGGGTTCACTTTTATCTACACATCATAATAATTACTCATTTGCAAAGCCATCTTTCTTTCCATTCCCAGGAGTATAACCTCACAGACATATTCCTGCTGCCTATATTTTTATGTAGTAACGTAAATGCATAAGCTAGGCGTTTGGACTCCCTGGACTCCTTATCAGGCCTAACGACAAAAGTCATCGCTCCTGAGACACAGAGAAAGCTTTAGTCAGAATCTTAAATAGCACTTTGCTTAGTTGCTCTGAACAGCTTTCAAAAGGCTTTTGCGTATATCCAAGGACAAGGCAAGAAATGCGTATAAGAAGCAGCAAAGTGATTTAGATAAGACGTGAACAAAAATGTTCCAGAAATTCAAGGTGATGAAGATCTGGAACAGACTGCCTGGGGACTGTACAAAGTCTTCCTGCTACTGGAAATATGTAAGATTATGTCCAAAAAACCTCTTCTGGAATGATAACACTATAGAGACCTTGACCTGCATAGCAACACAGACTTCTTGCTTTCTTTGTTCCTCTGATGCAGAGAGCCCAGGCTCCTAAGCCTAAGCCCTAAAAGTTGGGTGGTATCAAATACCCTCTACTACTTCTAAGCATATATAGCACAGTGCCTACAAACTGCAACTAGTTGGGAAAGCTATCAACACCTGAAAAAGTAAAAAAGAACATGAAAAAGAAAAAATAGCTTTAAATTATGGACCTCTAATTACTCACTCTCCTTGCAAAAAATTTTTTTTGAAAGTGCTCAAAGAATTCTTCAATTGAAAAACAGGCTTATGTTTACTTGTGCATACGGATTACACTCACTTTTAGCTCTAACAAACGTGACAGTCTTAGAAGTACAGAGCACTGTGGCTTTGACATGACAATCTGATGATCATATGTCATCCTCTGTCCCTAGAACTGCGTGTTTGACACGTGTAACTGTGAGAAGAGTGAGGACTGCATGTGTGCTGCCCTTTCCAGCTATGTCAGGGCCTGTGCTGCTAAAGGAGTTCTCCTCACTGGATGGAGGAGCAAAGCCTGCAGTAAGTTCTACATCCCTTTGCCTCTGGAAAATGGTCATCGAGAATGCCACACACAACAGCTCTCAGGGATTCTCACAGTAAATTTTGTTAAATTGTGTTTTAAGTATAGCATTGATTTTCAAGTATTTGAGTAGGAAAGGAATACCATAATAGACAAGCAGTAAGCAGGGAGAAATATAAAATAGAAGGCTTTGTTAGATTACTTCGTCAGAACCAGCTGAAGCAACATGGACCTCAATACCCTTGCAATAGGAATAAAATAAGCAGCATGTTTCTCAATTTACTTTGACAAAAAATATAAAAATAGCAATGAGTTAAAAACACACTGTGCATTAATATAATTGAATATTTTTCCTTTTTTTAATCTGGTCAGAACATTTGTATGCATGACACATTTATAAGGGAAAATTCTGCTCTGGCAGTACAAAAAGAAATCACTCTATCGAGGATATCAGGAAAGCACAAGTACATACATTACCATGTTTATCATATATACTTTAGCTCAAGTACTGCACTTTTACCTACATTGATTCTTAAATGAACTACAAATGTAACTCACCTTTTTACTCTCAAGCCAAATATACCACCTTGTGTCCGAAATCCTTGAAGTACACTTACAATGTCGATTCCTGTCAACCCACTTGCCGGTCCCTGAGTGAGCCTGATGTCACATGCAGCATCAAGTTTGTCCCAGTTGATGGCTGCACCTGCATAAATGGAACCTACATGGATGAAAGTGGCAAATGTGTGCCTGCTTCTAGCTGTCCTTGTTACTACAAAGGAATGCCTCTGTCTTCTGGAGAAGTTATTCGTGATAACGGTGTTGTCTGGTAAGAGATTTGTAAACAAATGAGATTGGAAATAGGCAGTCATGAAACCTTATATACATTCAGTAATCTATTCAAATCAAATGCATTTTTCTCCTTAATAATTTTGATATAAAAAATCACAGATCCTTAAAAATTGTTAGAGCTATTAATGTTTGGAAAACTGTACTTCAACTACAAACTGTGGTGGTTAGCCTTGGCTAACAGCCAGACTCCCACCCATTCAGTCAGTCACTCACTCCTCACCACACATGCTTGTCTTATCCATGACTATAAAAGACTTCTTCCTTGGTGATAACGCTTCCATGCTTGATAATCCCCTTACAGATTATTCCCATTATGAATGGAATCTGAACTATTCTGTAGGACAGTTTTTAACCAGGCACATGGACAGAGCAAACCTGCCTCTATATAAAATATACTCATATTTCGGTCTGCTCTAGTATAAAAATTTTGGAATGGTACTGTTCTGATACTGTTCTCATAAAGGACACTTTTTCTCTGTTTTATCACATGGTAATTTTTCATTATTTCAAATTCATTAAGAAACAAGCTGAAAGTTTACATGAAAAAGCAAAAACATATTCATTCTTTTTTTTATAGCACTTGCACCTATGGAAAGCTGAGCTGCATTGGAGAGAAACCTGAACCAGGTAACACATAATTTAAGATTTTCTTTAACTCTCCATCTTCATCCTTTTCAGTTCTCTCTTTTTCTGTCATAATTATGTGAATTGTACAAGTGTGAAATCAAACAAGAATATGAACAGATGACTTCTGTTACGTAGAGGATATTCGCAAAATAGAAATAAATACTGTCTTACCTTTCAGATGGCTGAAACAAGTTATAACCCCCTGGGTTACCCTGGGGAAAAGAATACTTGGTCACCCCACTGAAAGTGAGGAGAAAACAGTCCACTTTTTAAATAAAATAGAAGTACTAAAAGCCTAAAACATACAAAGTAGTCCACGATCCTTGTTTTCTTGTTTGTTTTTCTGAAAGGAAGGGTTTCAAAAAGTTAACAAAATATTAATTTCCATGAGTAGTCCAAGCATAAGCACAAAAAACAGATAAACATGACTTCAAAACAATATACAGTTTCTCTTTCTGGTCAAATATATTATATGAAGGTACACATATCTCAAAGAAGGAATCTCTTTTTTTTTTCCCATTCAATATACATTAAGGAAACACAAAGATATAAATACATGGTTGATCTCACATTCCTCATGGCTTTTCTCTCTTTCAGTCTGCATACCTCCCATGGTCTATGTTGACTGTGACAATGCCACTGCAGATGTAGTAGGAGCAGGATGCCAGAAGAGCTGTCAGACTCTAGATATGGAATGTGTAAGTATAGACTCTATACCCAGTTGAAAACATATTAAACTAGATCTCTTTTACAATTACCAGCTGCAGCTGGACTCTTCCATCAGCATAATGTTTCACATCATGTCTTCTATATGGTCCTTACAGTACAGAACCCACTGTGTCTCTGGCTGTGTATGTCCTCATAAACAAGTGTTAGACGGCAAAGGTGGATGTATAGCTCCAGAAGACTGTCCATGTGTTCACAATGGGAATTCCTACAGTCCAGGAGAATCAATCAGAGTTGGCTGTAACAACTGGTAAGAGCATACTGAAAAATATTATTTTGAAGGGAATAGTGTAAGCTCTAGGTGAATTATAGTACTTCACTCTAGCAGTATCAAGATTTATAGGAACAAATCCTACATAAGATGACCCACTTGGTACCTAAAAAGCAAGCTCTGTCTGTTTTTTTACAATACATACAGCATGAATGGCATACAGCACAGAAATTGCAAGTGGTCCGAAGAAAAATACAGTTTGGATGTTGCCATATTCATTTAAGTTAAGAAAGATTTTTTTTCCTTACAGGCAATGCTTACATTCCAATACATCCAACAAGATTTGGAAGTGTGAAACATTTGAAGTATTTTCTAACTCAAATTATTCATGACATTATGAAGCAATACAGTCCTTGGGTAAATCCCAAAGGCTCTTGAGCTATGCTACATTTCTGAGAATAAGCAAACTTAATTTTTTAGTTATAAGCTTAACACATTTTAAAATCAGATTGATGTACATGCAGGAATGTACATATAGCAGTATCACATGTATATCTGGTTTTTACATTTGAAGTGCTTTTCGTCTTACGTAGCACATGTAGAAACAGAAAATGGCACTGCTCTGAGGAACCTTGCCTGCAAACCTGTTCTGTTTATGGAGATGGGCATTACACCACCTTTGATGGCAAACGCTTTGATTTTGAAGGAGACTGTGAATATGTTCTGATCCAGGTAACAGTCCTTCCCAGATTTTTGCACTATCAAAGTACCTTGCATTTCACATATGACCATGTAGCATAGTTAATACTGAATATCACTCCCGTTTCAGAACTACTGTGGTCAACAAGGTATGAATCAGGGAACCTTCAGAGTCATCACTGAGAACGTTCCATGCGGCACTACAGGAACCACCTGCTCTAAGTCTATTAAAGTTTTCCTGGGGGTAAATATTTTCTTTAATAAGTTTTGTCTCAGGCCTAATGTGCCAGAAGTATGGAACAAGCAGTCCCAGATGGACTGCATTGTAGAAGTGTCCTCCAAGACAGTGAAAATGTTACTACACTTCTTTGGTCACTGTCAGCGATTCTGCTCTCTGCTAAAGAAAGCAAAGGAGGGAATTCTAAAGAGAAATTGCTTAACAACAGGTTGTTGAATAGAATAATTTTGATGATAACCGAGTTATTTCAATAACAGTAACTGGCAATATCTAAAACTGTACCCAACAGGTGACTTTTTTAATTGGCCTCTAACTTCTTCTTTTACTGTCCTAGAACTATGAGCTGGTACTCAATGATGGACACTCTGATGTCATCCAGAGGACACCTGGAGGAAAAATGCCATTCCAAATCCGTTCCATGGGCATCTACCTGGTGGTTGACACTACTGTTGGCCTGATACTCATGTGGGACAAGAAAACCAGTATATTCATCAAACTTAGCCCCAGCTTTCAGGTACATTTTAAATTCCAAAACCTGGATAAAATTATTTCTGAAACCTATTCAGGATATCACTCAAAGACAAAAATGAACATTTAGGCTGTAACTGGAAGACTGGAAGAGCAGCAATTGCATGTTGTTATCCTTGTAGCATTGACTTAGATTGCATACTACAGATTTTCCTTAAGTTATGTTATTCAGCAATGGAATAATGGCAACTACTTCAGTAACTTTCTTCACGAAAAGCCCTTACTGAAGAGGTATGTTCAGGATTAGATAAAATTAATTCGCTCAATACTAAGAACAAAAACCATGAGTCTACTTTGCTTCCTATCCTTACCCTTGCTAACAACAAGTTAGACATCTCTTCATGAGAGGTATTTTATGAAATGTCCAGGACTGTTACTGAAGAGGCCTCGATAATCTTAAATGAAGTCTGTTACTTGCAGATACTAAGAAACTGTACCTTCCTGATCTTTGTAATTTTGTGTTTATCCCCACAAAGGAACATGTCTGTGGACTTTGTGGAAACTATGATGGCAATGGAAATAACGACTTCACTACTCGCAGTCAGTCTGTGGTAGCAAATGTGCTGGAGTTTGCCAATAGCTGGAAAGTGTCTTCTACTTGCCCAAATGCCAATCTTACCAAGGATTCATGCACTGTGAACCCATATAGGAAAGCCTGGGCGCAGAAGCAGTGCAGCATAATTACCAGTGAAGTGTTTGCAAAGTGTCACTCACAGGTATGACAGAAACTTTAGTCTTAAATTCCCTAAGCCAGAGATTACATTGATTTTTATGTGTGATAACTGAAAAATACACTAAAATAGGCTTTGTCGAGCTTGACAAAATAAAGTCAGACTAAGGTCCAGGGTCACAGGGAGTGTGAAAGTATTTTCACTTTCATTTTCTCAGCTTGTACCTTGAACTAGTACACTAAAGAAAATGATATCTGTTTTTTTTCAATAGAAGGGACAATCATAGATATATCTCTGCATACATTTATTTTCTAATGCCATCATTTTCTACTAATATAAACACCAGCCACCAGATGAATTTGACTGTGTGCTAGCTTGTAGTAATGTAACAGTATTCTTTCTGCAAATTTATCTTCAATATCAAATAGTTCTTCACATTACAACTTATTAGTAATAGCTTTACTCTACATTTTCCTCTTGATTTTTCAAAGCTTACTTATGGGTTCTTTCTTTCTTATCATTCTCATACTTACAGAGTTGTCAGTTTCAGACATTTTATTCAGCTTTTCTAGCACAGTGAATACCTTTACAAAGAGGACAAATGCATGAAAATTCCAATGTTTTCTCCAACAGATTGAACCAAATGAATATTATCAAGCATGTGTGGATGATGCTTGTGCCTGCGACACTGGAGGAGACTGTGAATGTTTCTGTACAGCAGTAGCCGCCTATGCTCAAGCGTGCAATGAGCTGGATATCTGCATTTCATGGAGAACTCCATCAATTTGTCGTGAGTCTCACCCTACTACTTTTTGAAGGGGTCCAGAGGGAAATAAAACAGAGAAGAAAAAAAGAACAACAAGCACAATGAAGACAGACAGACAGGCAGGCAGGCAGGCAGGAAGCAAGGAAGCAAGGAAGCAAGGAAGCAAGGAAGGAAAAAACTGTATTTGTAAGAGGCACTGCTGTATGTAAAAACAGCAAAAAAACCACAAAGCAAATTGGAAAAATCACTGGAAGCTAATCTACCTTCTTAAAATGAAACCATTCATAGTAACTTTACCAGTGGTGTCACGAGTGTCTGATTTACTTGTCAATCATGGCACACACCTGGTGAACTATAATACTACATTACACTCCCACCTGTCTACATCAGGTTAAGTGTAAATAAACATTAGTGCATACTAGCTAAAATAAGTGATTGAATTAATCGATTTTTCATGTTTAATTTGTAACTTTGTTTTATGCTTTATAACTTGATAGGTGTCAAAAGGTGGTAGAAGTGTAACAATGCTATTAAACTAGAAAGAAGAGAATATACTATTCACCACCAATGTGATTATGCTGATCATATGGGATTTTTATCCATCAAAACTGTAGAGCATTAAGATCAAAGGCCTTTTTCTGTCATTTCTACTTCCTCTAGCTCTGTTCTGTGATTACTACAATCCACAAGGGGAATGTGAGTGGCACTACAAGCCATGTGGAGCCCCTTGTATGAAGACCTGCAATAATCCAAGTGGGAACTGCCTCCATGAGTTGAGAGGTTTGGAAGGTAAACATAATTATGCATATCTCATTCTACTTATAATAAGTTTAAACACAATATGGTTAACAAAATTTATGTTACTGAGTATATGACATGTTTATATTAGAAATTATAAGAAGATATTTTTAAATTAGTATCTTACTCCCTAATGGATCATGAACTTGTTTGGAGTGAAGATGAGGACAAGATGCTCCAAAGCTTGGTGTGCAACCAAAGGAATAGCAGTAACAGAGTCTGTAATTCCACTTACCATATGGGATAATTTGAGGAAAGCAGACATAAGTGGAGTACAGAATTACTTCTACTTGTGGAAGGTCTAGTGTCAACATAACTCATTTTTTATTGCAGGCTGCTATCCACACTGTCCAAAGAATAAGCCCTATTTTGATGAAGAAACCATGACTTGTGTTTCTGATTGTGGTTGTTATGAAAATGGAAAAAATTACAAACCAGGACTGCAGATGCCTTCAAAGCAGAATTGTCAATCATGGTAGGATTAGTCAAGATTTTTAAATGTTGAGTTTAAAGTTACAGAAAATAATTCATCATGCATTAAGTTTTTTGTTTTATTTTGTTTGCCAGCAGGAACTAGGCCAGTCATAGGCTGCTGAATAATGTCTAATTTTCCTCTGTTCCCAGGAACTTAAACTATGACATGGTGAAACATTTTATCACAGAGAGATTTACCACATATTCTGTATTCTTATTGAAGTACTTATAAATTATTATCATTATTAAAATAAGTAAAAACAAAATAATAATAGTTACAACAATAGTCTGAGAATTTTTGTCAAGATATCCCCAAAACCATTACGTGAAATTATTTAGACATTAGTGGGCAAATAATCTTCATTGTTTTAAGCTTGTTCCTGTTATTGCACTGGTACTTGAATATTTGCAACAGTCAGCAAGTTTTCCCACACATTGCATCAGAATTGATGACACGTTGGGACAAGTGCTGCTAAGCCTTCTATCAAATAGCACAAAGTTAGCAGAACCACCTTTAAAGTAGCTACACTTGAACACTGTAAGCAGTACAGCCAGAATGGCAAGGAGCTTAGCACAAAGCCTATCTGAGCTACCCCAGCTTTCATGGAATGTTTTGCAGTTCGTAGACAGCTTTGCCTACATCATCTATGTCACTAACAGCACTAAATCTATCCTGTTACGTACATATCTATATTTACTTATGTTTATTCAATGAACAGATGCGCCTAGTCACTGTAAATAAATGTATCCAGATTCAGTTCTTAACAGATAATAGATAAAGTCCCTCTAAAAACAGAATGAGTTCTGGTATCTTTTAGAAGTCTGATGGAAATTCTCTGTGTAGACAAACTCAACATTCATGACACAGTGATCCTTTCTCAAATGATACATCTACTGCACTTTCCCTTCCAAAAAACAAGTGTACTTGTCAGGGAGATAAGAACATTTCAAATCACCCCTCCCCACCTCTTTGCTCAGTCTCCAAAAGCACCGATAAGGATACTGCATATTTAGTATACTGGCATAGAGTTGTCTTCCTTGCCAGAACACTGAGTGATCCTATTTAACCTGACTTTGTACAGCAGAACTGAATATCTACCTCAGAGAAGACAGGGTCTTTCTACATTTAAACACACAATGAATAGCAAAGGATTGATAAAAAAACATTGAAAAAATAAAACGATGTCATGAACCCATATCTTCACATTCATTATCTCCCTTTTTTTCTCTTTTCCAGTGAATGCACAAATCATGGCAAAAAATGCAAATATGATGAATATGGTATGTTGACAAAGTTGTTTTTATCTGAATAGGATGCATCCAAGGTACTCTGTGCTGTGTTTTGGACACCAAGGAATAACACTCTCTTTTGATTTACAGAATGCATATGCATTTATGAGGAACAGAAATACAACTATAAAGATGTGATCTACAGTACTACAGATGGCACAGGAGGGTGTATTGTTGCAACCTGTGGTCCCAATGGAACGCTTCAAAGGGCTGTCTATGAATGTGCAGTCTCAACTTCACCCACAACAGCAACAACATTTCACTTCAGCACTACACCACCTGCCACGACTTCCACAGGTACATCCTTTATAGCCTATAAAAGCATATTCTGCTCACTAGCGAGTAAAATACAGCTACAAAAACATGCCCACACTCACAACATAAATGAATTAATATAACCTAAAAATAAATTACAGTAAGTCTCATTTGTTATTAGCATTCAGTTTTAGTCAGTATTTGGTAGCCAAACTAATACAAGGAAGTAAATATAGAAAAGAAACCCACTTCTGAAACACTAAAATGGAAACCACTGCACTGCACTATTATTATTTTGCTTATCTACATAGTGAACGACAAAAAAAAATTAAAGTTTTTTAGTTGTAATTGTTAACTATTTCTATACCTGGAATAATCTTTACTGAACATATAATTCATTATTTTTCCTGTTAAATTACAGAATGATGACCTTCTGTAAAATTTTTGGTAGTCTTCATGGTATTTATAATTACAGTACTAAGTGGATGGCTCATATATTGGCATTGAGATACTGAAATTTTCATTTCTAAAATTCCTGTTTAGTATTCTTCAGGTTGGTAATCTCTAAATACTATGAGCATATGTTGTTTAGCGAAATAAGCATTCAGTCTAAAATTTATAACTACAGGTTTCTGAAATCACAGAAACCATCAGCACTGCTGGAATTCATTAGCCATTTTCCAACCATTTCAAAATGAGAATTCACCTGCAAAGGTTTATGGACTGCTCTCCAACCAATAAATGGTTTCTTAAGACCAGAGCTGAAGTACGAAGTGTAGCGGTTGTAATAAAGTTGCATTAGACATCTTTTACTTCTAATAGAAGAGTAAAGACAATGAGGCATATTATATGAGGAGTCAACTCATTTGGAAGAAAAAAGTACCTATGAATCTTGATGTGCAGACTTAATGTTATTCTTTCCACTGGATTTGAATTCAGTTTTTGACATTATAGAGAGACTAATGAATACCGAAGCAAGATACAAACCCAGCAATGACACTGAATCAAATGCAAAAAACTGAGATTTTTTTTCCCCTAATGTGTACAAATTATGTCCAAAACCTATTTCAGCACTTGGTAAAAGATAACTGGCATTCTCTTGAGAAGTGACAGTTCCAAGTGTGTCAGTACATTAGATCACTAAGTGATGGATTTTCTGTTCTACTTCAGTTTAAATTACAAGTACACTGAACTGATGCACTACAGGCTGATAATGCAAGCAAATGACCTTCAGAAAATTTTCAGCCCATTTAGTATGATAAAAAAGAGAATATCTACAGGAATTTATTCTAAGTTCAGTGGTCTCTTATTTTTCTCTTTCACAGTGTCACCAACTACATCAGTATGTGTTCATGAAGTCTGTGAGTGGTCAGAATGGTATGATGGGAGTCTGCAAACCCCTGGCTATGATGGCGGAGATTTTGAAACCTTTGATGATTTGAGAGCTAAAGGTTATGAAGTCTGTAAAGCTCCACGGGCTGTTCAATGCAGAGCAGAGAAATTCCCTGATATACCACTGAAAGATCTTGGCCAAAAAGTAGAATGCAGTAAAACAGTTGGGCTTATATGTTACAACAAAGATCAAATTTCAACGATGTGCAACAATTATGAAATTAGAATCTTATGCTGTGTTTTTGTACCATGCTCTTCCACAACACATTTCAGCACATCAACACAGATCACAACTGCAGCTAAGAGCACAGAAACATCAAGTTCAACTGAAGAAACCACATCATTTTCAACCACTAAAACATCTCCAGTGACTACAACTTTGGAAAGCACAACATTCACACCTTCAGCTACTAAGGAAACAATCACAATCACAACAAAAATAACAACACCTATCACCACTTCTTCTTCAACAATTCCTCTCTGCATAAAAGAAGAATGTTACTGGTCAATGTGGTATGATGTAAGTTATCCAGAGTCAGGGTATGATGATGGAGACTTTGATACAATTCAGAACATTAAAAAAAAGGGATACAAAGTCTGTGAAAACAGAAGGGATGTGGAATGTCGAGCAGTAAGATTCCCCAACACACCATATACCCTCCTGGAGCAACACATAACATGCAACACAGAAGAAGGGTTGAAATGCTACAATAAAGACCAACTACCACCAATCTGCTATAACTATAAACTTAGATTTAAATGCTGTACAAATAAAACAGAATCATGCCAAACAACTACAGTACCGCTTACAACAAAACAAAAAAAAACGACTATTTTATCAACTACACCAAGTACATCATCCACTGAAGTCACAAAAACACCACACTTACAAACCAAACATAAGTCAACTACAATATCAAAACCTCCTCCAAAGACAGAAAATATTCATACGAGAACTACAACACAAACCAGCAGCACAACAGTCACGACCTCCACCTCCACCACCGTGCCCACCTCCTCAGAAAGCACATGGCAAACCTCCACCAGCACCACCAGCCCCGTGCCGACGCCTACCACATACTCGCCCAGCGTGACCACCACCACCACCACACAGTCCACTACCACCTGTGCCGAAGTGTGCTCCTGGAGCGAATGGTTCGACGTCGACTTCCCCTCCTCAGGGCCCAGCCAGGGAGACTTCGAAACCTACCAGCACATCCGCGCCGCCGGCAAGGAAGTCTGTCAACATCCAAAGGAAATCGAGTGCCAAGCGGAGCAGTACCCCGAGGTTGCCATCCAACAAGTCGGACAGGTCGTGCAGTGCGACGTCAACTTTGGACTCGTGTGCAAGAACAGTGACCAGACTGGCAAGTACAAGATGTGCCTCAACTACCGGATCCGCGTCCGCTGCTGCAGCCCCAACTACAGCTGCCTAGTCAGCACCTCCTTGCCCATCACCAGCCCCACCACCATCACCACCCGCAGCTCAACCAGCACCGCCCCAACCTCCACCTCAGTCACGACCTCCACCTCCACCACCGTGCCCACCTCCTCAGAAAGCACATGGCAAACCTCCACCAGCACCACCAGCCCCGTGCCGACGCCTACCACATACTCGCCCAGCGTGACCACCACCACCACCACACAGTCCACTACCACCTGTGCCGAAGTGTGCTCCTGGAGCGAATGGTTCGACGTCGACTTCCCCTCCTCAGGGCCCAGCCAGGGAGACTTCGAAACCTACCAGCACATCCGCGCCGCCGGCAAGGAAGTCTGTCAACATCCAAAGGAAATCGAGTGCCAAGCGGAGCAGTACCCCGAGGTTGCCATCCAACAAGTCGGACAGGTCGTGCAGTGCGACGTCAACTTTGGACTCGTGTGCAAGAACAGTGACCAGACTGGCAAGTACAAGATGTGCCTCAACTACCGGATCCGCGTCCGCTGCTGCAGCCCCAACTACAGCTGCCTAGTCAGCACCTCCTTGCCCATCACCAGCCCCACCACCATCACCACCCGCAGCTCAACCAGCACCGCCCCAACCTCCACCTCAGTCACGACCTCCACCTCCACCACCGTGCCCACCTCCTCAGAAAGCACATGGCAAACCTCCACCAGCACCACCAGCCCCGTGCCGACGCCTACCACATACTCGCCCAGCGTGACCACCACCACCACCACACAGTCCACTACCACCTGTGCCGAAGTGTGCTCCTGGAGCGAATGGTTCGACGTCGACTTCCCCTCCTCAGGGCCCAGCCAGGGAGACTTCGAAACCTACCAGCACATCCGCGCCGCCGGCAAGGAAGTCTGTCAACATCCAAAGGAAATCGAGTGCCAAGCGGAGCAGTACCCCGAGGTTGCCATCCAACAAGTCGGACAGGTCGTGCAGTGCGACGTCAACTTTGGACTCGTGTGCAAGAACAGTGACCAGACTGGCAAGTACAAGATGTGCCTCAACTACCGGATCCGCGTCCGCTGCTGCAGCCCCAACTACAGCTGCCTAGTCAGCACCTCCTTGCCCATCACCAGCCCCACCACCATCACCACCCGCAGCTCAACCAGCACCGCCCCAACCTCCACCTCAGTCACGACCTCCACCTCCACCACCGTGCCCACCTCCTCAGAAAGCACATGGCAAACCTCCACCAGCACCACCAGCCCCGTGCCGACGCCTACCACATACTCGCCCAGCGTGACCACCACCACCACCACACAGTCCACTACCACCTGTGCCGAAGTGTGCTCCTGGAGCGAATGGTTCGACGTCGACTTCCCCTCCTCAGGGCCCAGCCAGGGAGACTTCGAAACCTACCAGCACATCCGCGCCGCCGGCAAGGAAGTCTGTCAACATCCAAAGGAAATCGAGTGCCAAGCGGAGCAGTACCCCGAGGTTGCCATCCAACAAGTCGGACAGGTCGTGCAGTGCGACGTCAACTTTGGACTCGTGTGCAAGAACAGTGACCAGACTGGCAAGTACAAGATGTGCCTCAACTACCGGATCCGCGTCCGCTGCTGCAGCCCCAACTACAGCTGCCTAGTCAGCACCTCCTTGCCCATCACCAGCCCCACCACCATCACCACCCGCAGCTCAACCAGCACCGCCCCAACCTCCACCTCAGTCACGACCTCCACCTCCACCACCGTGCCCACCTCCTCAGAAAGCACATGGCAAACCTCCACCAGCACCACCAGCCCCGTGCCGACGCCTACCACATACTCGCCCAGCGTGACCACCACCACCACCACACAGTCCACTACCACCTGTGCCGAAGTGTGCTCCTGGAGCGAATGGTTCGACGTCGACTTCCCCTCCTCAGGGCCCAGCCAGGGAGACTTCGAAACCTACCAGCACATCCGCGCCGCCGGCAAGGAAGTCTGTCAACATCCAAAGGAAATCGAGTGCCAAGCGGAGCAGTACCCCGAGGTTGCCATCCAACAAGTCGGACAGGTCGTGCAGTGCGACGTCAACTTTGGACTCGTGTGCAAGAACAGTGACCAGACTGGCAAGTACAAGATGTGCCTCAACTACCGGATCCGCGTCCGCTGCTGCAGCCCCAACTACAGCTGCCTAGTCAGCACCTCCTTGCCCATCACCAGCCCCACCACCATCACCACCCGCAGCTCAACCAGCACCGCCCCAACCTCCACCTCAGTCACGACCTCCACCTCCACCACCGTGCCCACCTCCTCAGAAAGCACATGGCAAACCTCCACCAGCACCACCAGCCCCGTGCCGACGCCTACCACATACTCGCCCAGCGTGACCACCACCACCACCACACAGTCCACTACCACCTGTGCCGAAGTGTGCTCCTGGAGCGAATGGTTCGACGTCGACTTCCCCTCCTCAGGGCCCAGCCAGGGAGACTTCGAAACCTACCAGCACATCCGCGCCGCCGGCAAGGAAGTCTGTCAACATCCAAAGGAAATCGAGTGCCAAGCGGAGCAGTACCCCGAGGTTGCCATCCAACAAGTCGGACAGGTCGTGCAGTGCGACGTCAACTTTGGACTCGTGTGCAAGAACAGTGACCAGACTGGCAAGTACAAGATGTGCCTCAACTACCGGATCCGCGTCCGCTGCTGCAGCCCCAACTACAGCTGCCTAGTCAGCACCTCCTTGCCCATCACCAGCCCCACCACCATCACCACCCGCAGCTCAACCAGCACCGCCCCAACCTCCACCTCAGTCACGACCTCCACCTCCACCACCGTGCCCACCTCCTCAGAAAGCACATGGCAAACCTCCACCAGCACCACCAGCCCCGTGCCGACGCCTACCACATACTCGCCCAGCGTGACCACCACCACCACCACACAGTCCACTACCACCTGTGCCGAAGTGTGCTCCTGGAGCGAATGGTTCGACGTCGACTTCCCCTCCTCAGGGCCCAGCCAGGGAGACTTCGAAACCTACCAGCACATCCGCGCCGCCGGCAAGGAAGTCTGTCAACATCCAAAGGAAATCGAGTGCCAAGTGGAGCAGTACCCCGAGGTTGCCATCCAACAAGTCGGACAGGTCGTGCAGTGCGACGTCAACTTTGGACTCGTGTGCAAGAACAGTGACCAGACTGGCAAGTACAAGATGTGCCTCAACTACAGGATCCGCGTCCGCTGCTGCAGCCCCAACTACAACTGCCTAGTCAGCACCCCTTTTACCACCACCAGCATTACTACAATTAGTACCACATCCGAATCCCCCTGCACCAGCACTTCTTCTCCCTCTGTAGCAACACCATGTTTCTGCAAAATTGCGGATGATATTTTTTCACCTGGTTAGTGTACCTGTTTTTTTTTCATGCTGCGTATCTCTTAATTAATGTTTTTTACTTATTTTGCATCACATTTTTCCCCAATTATTTTTTAGTACATTCCTTATTTTTTCTTGTTTTTTTTTTTTTTTCTTACTTTATTTGTTTCATTTTTTTCAGGTGATTTGATTTACAGCAAAATGGATAGTGATGGATGTAGATTTTATGCCATTTGTAGTCGGAGATGTACAGTTGAACGATACACTGCACACTGTAACAATACGACGCCTCTAACGACTACTTCCACTGAATGGTCTACCACAACAACATCTGTTCCTCTATCTACCACTTCTGGAAACGTTCATGTTAATGTTTGTGTTTCTGCTTCCTACCCTCCCCTACAGGTATGTATTGTCTGTCGTATGTTATGATTGTTGAAGTAACATCGATGTTATGTTGACACCAGAAAGGAATAGTTTGCAGTCTTTAAATCTTACATGTTCAGACTGCCTGAATAAGTGTTGCTAATGATGGTCAATAGACATGCCGTAAAATTTGTATCTGCCTTCTCTGTATATTTTTTCATACTGAGAAAGCAAGCTACAACAATCTTTTCTAATGACTTTAGCGCTAGCATAAAGCCCTCATGCACTGCATTGCAGAAATAACTAACCTTCTGTTCTTCTGTACATGTTCTTTTTTTTTTTTTTGATAGTGATGGTCTCTGCTGGTAATGAAGTACAGTATACACATTTAGTACAAAGGACATCAGTTCCCTTAACCTAAGACCAATCCCCCAAGCCCCCCAAACCTCAGAAGAGCTCCTCATGCAGAAGAAATAGCTGGAATTAAGGTTCCCACCTCCTGTTAGCATAAAAAAATTCTGTAGAATATTGAAAACTTGTACTATCAGTGAAGATTTTCATTTTAGTCTTTGCTTGAAATTTGGAAAACAAGACAGTTTCTGATCCTCCATATCATGGTCAGAATTATGAATATCTCTGGTCAACATTACAAACCGTTAGTACCACAGATTAAAGAGACATAACAGATATTAACTTCCTTTCCAACTCCACCATTACTGGAAACAATATACCATTAAACTAGAAATATAAGTGAAGTTCATATCTGCTTAAAAACTCCTGTGACAGGAATTTTTGTTCCTTTTGCAGCGTGGACAAAGATACAAATTGTCCAACTGTACAGAACTCCTCTGCAAGGGAGACAACAAGGTAGAAGTTATTCCAACGCATTGCCTACCTGTAAAGGAAATTACCTGTGCGAACAAATATCCAGCAATACTGGTACCTGATGAAAATGGCTGCTGTTACCACTATGAGTGTCAATGTAAGCACCAGTAGATTCAGGAATAATCTTTTTTTGAAAAAAGCAAAACTTTGCACAGATTATATAGGCATTTTGTTTTCTTAGGTTTGCTTTAAAAATTATAATATATTCACTTCAGTTTCTAAGTTCTTTCTCCTACAATAATTTTCACGTTAATCTAAATATTTTCTCTCTACCAGGTGTGTGTAGTGGATGGGGTGATCCTCATTATATCACTTTTGACGGAACCTACTATACTTTCCTTGAAAACTGCACTTACGTCCTGGTGAAACAGATTGTACCTAAATACGACAACTTCCGTGTTTACATTGATAATTATTACTGCGATGCAGAAGACGGACTTTCCTGCCCAAAATCCATTATTATTTTCTACAAATCTGCAGAAGTAGTGCTGACCCGTCAACTCGTGAATGGTGTGATGACCAATGTGGTAAAATACACATCTTTTTATTTCTCTATTTTTGCAAAAAATAATAAGACCCATAGGTGTTACTGATTCTCATTTGAAATGCAATGTTAGAATATCCTGTCTCAGAGGTGATGAGGGCAGAGGGTATTGTTAGGAAAAACAAAAGATTGTACCAATTTCTGAGAACAAAATTTCGGAAACAGCTTAGCACATGCAGACATGAATATATTATGTGCATGTATGTGTACATATAAATAACACCAGGAAACAGCCTAATACAGCTGAGAGAGACACAAGACAGAAAAAATGCTCACACTGCTGCTTGATTCACGTTTCATGAAAACTAGTACATTATGCCATTCACTTATGTAAACAAACACATTATGAAGAAACCCGAATGCAAATAGCAAGCATGATTCTTCTCTCATGGTGAAGATGGGTATGTATCCCTCATCACCTGGATGACTAGGGCCTGCTTCCCCTGCATAGGGAACTTCCAGCTCCAAACAGAGCCAGGACATCATTCCCCATCCAATTCCCTGCTAGGAAGAGAGGCATAGCTGAAGACAAGAGGTGACCAGGGGTGTTGCTTCACCTTCATGATCCTAAATTAGTGCTGACAAGCCAGTGAAAACAAAATGTCAGTCCCACTGTTACACTTCAGAATTTATTAGTTGATTAGAAAACACAAAGTGGTGGGAGGAAAAGCTCGTCTCAATACGCCCTCTCCCCCTACAGACCCATGCCAGTTTCTCCTTACCTACAGTCAGAAAGGCATGATGAAACAGTTAGTCCAGTGATTCCCTGTGAAAGAAAACAGTAACTGACAGTTTTAGCTCTTAGTTTATCCCAGTTCAATGAGAAGAAAGTTGCAGAATAATTCCTGACAAAAAGTTATTAGGCAAATATGTCCACCTTCATTAGCTCATATAAGATACAGGCTGCAAATGGAACAGCTTAGATTAACAAATAAATATGCCTTAAAACTAGCACCAGGGACATTTGACTTCACTTTGAATTCAGACAACTCTTCCAACACCAAGCAACATGTAGCATAGGGACAAAGTGCTTTTGCAACAAAGTTATTATGTAATAGTAGCAGGAATATTTCTGTAGTTAAAGAAAACTACCACTCATTTTCATATGAAAAGTGTTTACAGCAAACAAAATTATGAGAGATACAAAGAAAATATTTGCATTTAGAATGCAGTGCATTAGCTCACAATCTGCACAACCATGGCACATAGAGGCCACCTAGATTGCTATCTTACTGTAGCAGTATAGCTGTATAAGCTGAGATATTAATGCATATATATGCTGTTATTGCTATGCTTATGGGCATTGGATGTGATGCACAACAATATGGAATTATGCATGATTATGAAGATCAGAAAATACATTATTTAAAGCAATCAAGCAGAAGCATTGCTTATTCTGATGTTGTCTTGTTTTTAACCCTGCATGCAGATGTACTTCAACAAAAAGATTGTCAAGCCAGGCTTCAAAAAAGATGGCATTTCTTTCTCCACACTTGGCATCAACATGATTGTTGAAATACCAGGGATTGGTGCAACCATCACCTTTAGTGGGCTGATTTTCTCCGTGAAACTCCCGTACAGCAAATTCGGCAACAACACAGAAGGACAGTGTGGTAAGACAGATGCACTAATTGGAGGTGGGACTCTTTCCCCACCCTAACATGTCTATTCTCATGCACTCTGACTGTGCAGTCTCTTGACTGACAGAAATTTGTAAACATTAGTAAAGTGGAAATGAAAACAGTTCTCCTTTTCAGTTTCTCTAGGATGAAAAGCTCAGTATTTCAGCAATTTATTCTTTTTAATTTGGGGCTGGGGTTTTAGGTTTGTTTGGTTTTCCCTAACCTAAATTAAAATTCATATAACTGTAAAGAAAGCACTCCCTATGAAGCAAGGCACCTTATACATTTCATGAGCACATTATGTCTAAATGTGATATCAGCTCAATAATGTATTGTGCATCTCTGATGTGGCTTATTAGACTTACATAACTTATCTCTTCCAGGAACATGCACAAATAATAAATCAGATGAATGTCGCTTACCGAGTGGCAAAATCATTTCCTCCTGTCCCCAAATGGCTCATCACTGGATCGTTGATAACAACAAGTCATGCCATGGAGTACCAATACCACCAGTTGTAACTACACCTCCACCAAAGCCTCACTGTGAAACACCTCATCTCTGCAAGCTTTTCTGGAGCAAGTAAGAAAAAAACCTGAATGAATTCACTCTTTCTAAACAAAACTGTCTCAGTATCTTACAAGAAGAGTAAGAACTATCATCCTAGCCTGTGATAATAGCTGAAAATGTCAGTTTATTGACAGGATATACACAGTGAAAGGCTGTTGCGACAGAAACTGCTCTTCTTTGATGACCTGCATGCCAAAGATAACTGAGCAAGGAGAGGTGAAGTCAAAAATTCAGGAATGCAGCAAGCACTAAAATCAACTCCCTGGGTTGCAAACACACAGATTTAGGTTCTGTTTCCCCTTCCCAACCTTCCTGGTTATGCTCACTCACTCTTAGTTATGCTATTAAGTAAAGACTGAACCCTAAATTTGAAGTAGGCCTTCAGTACGAACTGTGAAGAACCTGGTTACTAACCAGGTTAACAGAGGAGACAAACATCTCAGCTGAAAAACTTCCTTCATTCTTTGTACATTTTATGTAAAATACAGAGCTCCAAAAGTACAAAGGCTTGTTTCCTATACTTGTGTGAGCTCTGACAAAAGCTTTTTTTCAGCTGGGTCACTTATAAAGGCCCTCTTACACATGTTTGCTGTAGTGTCTGATAAGTTGTGAGCTATCGTATGTGCAATTTTTCTGTCTCCCAGCCACTTCTGCCATCCTTTTTCCTCAATCTGACACAGTTGTCTTTTTCATGAAATTTCTAGTGTCAGACTAATGAAAAGTTGTGTATGCATAGGAATTTACTACGACCATTAGCCTCTTTAGACAAACAATAGGGCTTCAGATTTCCTAGTGTTTCCTTTCCTGAATCTACCTTCCAGATTATTGGCCATTCTTAGGGGTTTTTTTTTTCCTCATAATACATTCCTTCCTGAATCAGAGTCATGTGCCATTAACTGGAAAGAGCTGGATTTTATGTAATGACTGGTTAGCATGAAAGGGATTTGATTTCTTTCCTGTACACAGGATTTTTGCAGAATGCCATGCTGTGATACCACCAGAACCATTTTTCAAAGGCTGTGTTTTTGATGGATGTCGCATAGCTGATGAATCCATGCAGTGTTCCAGTTTGGAGATATATGCTACAGAGTGTGCTGCTAGAGGTGTCTGCATTGACTGGAGAGGAAAGACGAACAATACGTGCCGTAAGTATTGGCAAACTCAAAATCATGTGTGAGAAATGTAGTAATTAGTGTCTATTCAGTAAACACATTTTACAACAGTTGACTACTGTCTACAAAAATACAGTGACGTTGTTACTCACAAACTGCAGATTAAGGTGGCAAAGCTGCAGTCACTTTTGCTGCAAAACTGCATTTACTGTCTATATTTGATCTTATTTCTTCTTTTTCCAATACAGCATACAACTGTCCAGCAAGCATGGTATACAGACCATGCGGGCCTATTAATCCTGCTACCTGTGACCCAAGGTATGGAAAGACCAAAAAATCCACTGCAAAACAACTGCTTACATTTTCTCTTTTTTTTTTTCTATTTTTACCCATCTATCTACTTTCCTTAGAAAATGAAGCTACTTCATAATAAAATGTGTTGTGAAATTGGAACATTATTCAAGATTTATAAATATCAGTCAGCTCTATGAATATGCACTTCCTGTTGCACTTCAGAAAATATAAAGTCTTCTGTGTCCCTTGTATCTGACACAGCAACCTTCTACATATGCTGCTTTCTCTCCTGCTTCACTGCAAAAACCTTGTACTCAAATATATACATTCCTCCCACTCTAGCCTTGTCGAGCTTCCTGGCTATGCAGTAACTGAAGGCTGTTTCTGTCCCGAAGGAAAGACATTCCTGAGTAAAGACAGCAGCATCTGTGTCTCTGAATGCTGTAAGTAGTCTGTAGCTAGTTTGGGGAATAAATAGAGATAAGGATTCATCATCATGATGCCTGTATTCTACTGCTGTCTTCTACATGGTCATATCATGGGAAAATCACCCTCTTTAAGCTCCTTTAGTCTCCCCATCCAAAAATCAAATACTAATCAGTATTACATTTTTTCCATTCTCCTTCCTTACATGAGACCTGTCAGGATGGAAGAAATCTACATCTTGGAAGAACTAGTCTGCATATTCTTTTTTTTATTAGTTTTATCTGCACAGTATTTCTATTTGAAACTGCATGAATTTACTCCTTTGTGTAAGTTTTCAGTGGTGTAAATCTTCATTAATCTTTTTTTTTCCCCGTTCCAGATTGTAGTGAACCAAATGGAGTATCCAGACAGGTGAGTAGCACAATCAGTGTGGTTTGTCAAGCACAGATAAGTGAATCAAGAGGATATTTACTGTTTCACAAAACCAAAGTTTTGCTTAGACTGGGGGAGACTTCAGGGTTTTTTCCAAATGTTCGTTCCCCTTTAACCTTAACAACAACTGTGAGTGCCAGAGCAGAAACCGCATTACTCCCTAAGAAATTCAGCAGTAATTGACAGGATATTTTTTCAATAACCATCACCTCACATACTGAAAAAAAATAGAGAGAAAAAGAGAGAGAGATGGTAGCAGTGGAACTTTGGCATATGTGCTTATTTCCATAAATTTGGCTTGCTAAATTTACTAGGGATCAAGGGACTGATAGATAACAAAGTTTACCTGTTGCAGATAGTGTTGATAATCTGCATTCTTAGTTCCTCAGCTACATATAAAGTACAGAAATTTCTCTCTGTAACCTGATGTGCAAATGAGTATGGCGTATGATAATTTCCTATTCAAAAATGCATGCAAATCTCAATCACTCCTTCTTTAGACCTCTTGCATCCCTCATACTGACACTACTGATAAACAAAAAGTGATAGCTGTGTGAACATGCTCAGAACCTTCAGTGATCTCCAGTATCTCCCACTAATAAGCTTCAGTTTGACGGTTTCTTATAAAATCTGAAAATACTAGAAATATGAAAAGGTTGATGTAATCAGCTATCACTGTAACCATTAGTAAGTCAACTAGAAACAATTAAAATTATTTTGGTTTGAATTTACATATAATTTTTTTTCTTCTGTCTTTTTCTTTTTTATATAGCTAGGAGAAAAATGGACAAAAGATTGCCAGGAATGTGTCTGTGACAAAAATACTCTTAAAGTGCACTGTACAAAACACAAATGTTCTTTGACACAGCAAGTATTTTGTGATGAACCAGGCTACATGCCTGTTCAGATACAGATACCAGAAGATCCATGCTGTACCAGGACTGAGTGCTGTAAGTACTGTCTTAGTTTTTCTTATCATGGTGAATAAACTATATTCATTTTGGGGAACTACAGCAATAATTTCTCTTTTTAAAAATATTTTTCATTTATTTCATAACACTTTTCTCCCTCATCTCACTTTTTAGAACCTCCTTGCAGAGCATTCACTAGATGCCTGAAGACAACAAATTTAAAGTTGAAAAGATTTTATATAGATACAGAAAAGCAACTGGAAATCTCTTATAATTTAACATTTGCAACTTTTAATGCTGCCACCACCTGAAACAATATTCAAAAACTATTCAAAGCATTTTCTGTTTTGAAGAACAGTATAAAAAAATGATCTTAATTTAAAAAAAAATCTTTAACATTGAAAAATTGCTGAAGAAAGTTCCTGAACCTCTGGCAGTCATCAGATTTCCCAATTCATACAAATGTCTCTTTAGAAGTATCTCTTTCCAGCAATCACCACTATTCTTCTCAGACAGTTCTTTGTTTTACAAAGGTTATGGAAAAGCCCATTCACTTTACAAATAGCTAGGCAAATATACTGAATCAGTCATTAAACTAGCTTGCGTAAACAACACCGTATTTGCCCCACAGGAAAACTTCTGAAGTTCATGCAAACCAAAATTACTTTCATTTTAAAATTCTGAGTTTATTATTTTCTATATTGTCTTCCATTAAACAGACTGCAACACTAGCCTCTGCCCTGAGGTCACACCCCAGTGCTTAGAGGGACAGGAAGTAGTCACAACAGTGCAGCCTGGAAAATGCTGTCCTTCCTTTGAATGCAGTAAGTACTATGCATCTTCTTCATGTCTTATTCACAGTTATATTTTTCTGAGTTTATGAACACAAAAACCTTAAGAGAGAAAGATGCAAATTGTCTGTGTTATCATATTAGGCCAACAAAGCAGCACTTCTTTCACATACTTCTGCTCCTGAAAACTTACACCTCTGTGTAAGTGACACCATCTTTCTTTCTTCTTTACAGGACATGGCTGTGTAATCAACACAACCTACTATGCAGTAAGTACACGGAGGAACTCACTATAAAAATATACCTTCACATAGGTTCACAATGCAATATTTTTGAGATTCCTGTAGTTGACCATATTTTGCAGAAAAGCCCAAAATAAAAATTTATTAATTACTTAATCAAGGTCAGCATGTCAACACCCTCCATACAGGGAAAACGTGTTCTGCTCTCCTTTCTGCATTAGCAGAATTTAATTCCAAAATGGATATTAGCAACAACAGAAACTCTGCTTAAATAAAACAACCAAAATGCTATTTAAGCATAGTTTATCCCAGACCTAGTTCAGCTTTGCGTTCTGTGATGTACATATGCAAAGTAACTTGCTTTTACTGACTGATGATGACTTTTTTTCTGCCTTCCCCTAGCCTGGAGCTGTCATTCCATTAGGCCCCTGTGAAGAATGCACCTGCTCTGAATCCTCTTACTCAAGCCCTCACCACGCTACTGTCAAGTGCAAGCCTGTTATCTGTGACACATACTGCCCAGCTGTGAGTCCTGTTTTGCTGTCAGCAATTTCTACCACACTCAGTTCAAATATCCACCAGTTAAAGTCAGTGTCCCAATTCAATGTCATTTCCTGTTTCTTTCACAACAGGGTTATAAATATACAAAGACACCTGGACAGTGCTGTGGGACGTGCAAGGCAGCGGCTTGTATAGTGACTGTGGGAGACAACATTACACACGTGCTTCAAGTAACTGTCCCTGTTTCAGTTTGATTTTGGTGAACTCTGCTAGACTTTCCCTTTGCCACATTTATTTATTGCATCTTTTTTCATGTCAGACAAATGTTTATTCAGGCAGAGGAATGGTCTGTCTCACACAGCTTGAACAGTATCTTGAGCCATGAAATGCCAGTTCTGACTAAGACTTCTGGAAGCAACTGTGAAAATGAGCAATGGCTTTCAAGAGATCAATGTAGAAATATACATAAACGAAAGCAATGGGCCTTCAGGTCTGAAAAGATAGCACCCATTTTGCTCCAAAGATAATTTTTGTCTGTGGAGGCAGTTTTCTGCTCCAAACCACAAATCTCAAATTAGCTGACACACAAGATGAGTCAGTGAAACCTGAAGAAATTCTGCTGTGTGTCTGAATGGACATTCCCATCAATTGTGATGACAAAACCACTGAAACACAAATCAATCTTTCCAAATGAGTCTACATACTTATTCTATTAACACAAAAAGCATGTCCATACTCAGATAAAAATACAGCCTTTTCATCCGGTTAATGAAAAAGACTTACAGTACTGTGATAGTATGACAAGTAACTGTCAGCTGAAATTCAAGGAAATTTTTTTGAATAATCAAACTACAGTAGGCAGCAATGATAAGACACTGGGCGGGGGGGGTGGCGAGTGTTTCATTTTTATGTAAGACGATTTTTATTCACTTTAAATTTTAACTGCTTTCAGGTTGAAGAAATCTGGAACCCACCTGGTGATAACTGTACCACTTACAGATGTGAAAAACATGATGACCAGTTCATTCCAGTTATCTCACTGAAAAGCTGTCCTCCCTTTAACCATGAGTGTGATCCAGTAAGTACTCCTCTACCAGTTCTCATATTTGAAAAGGTTGCAGTGGCTAGCATCAGTGAGAGAGGGATCTTGGTGTTTAATAGCAGAAGCATCACACAGGATGTGGCTCTCATTTTAACCTTTCTGAATCTGGTCCCCATCAAATTTCATTTCAGAAAAGCAAATCAAAATTAAAATGGGTGATATATTAATCCTTCCTGAGGATTGGCACTAGAGAAAAGGGTACAGCACAGTGTTTTGGTTTCCTAAAAGTGTCAGATGGCCTAGCAGCAAGAATCTTATTGAAAAGTAATGGGATTTTTATTCCTAAATTATTGAAGATTATAAATTCTTTTCTAGAATTCACCTACTGAGAGCAAAGGTGAAGGAAAATAAGCTACTTCAGTTCACAACATCATTCAACTTAATACAGCTCAGGGTAGATTAGAACCAGCCCCACACATCTGGGGAGTCAGTTATCTCATTAATTGTGTTACCATGTCTGACATCATCCTTCACCTGTACTGGCTTTGGTCACTCAAAATATCCCACACATGCTACAAGCTTTATTTCTGAAATTTTACTACTGAACTCTGATAAGAGCAAACCTGTTCCAGTCCCCCTCAATGTCAGCTTTAAAACAGCTGTTACTAACACTGAAGTAGTGTGCCCTTAATATTTAAGACTAGCTTGAAATTAGATTTCATGTCAATACAAAGAACTTTCTGGTGCTAGTGAAACGTAGGAAGCAGGGCAAGGCTCTGCTTTAGTATGCAGATACGAAACTTGAGTTGTCTTCTTCTGTTTTCCCACTCAAGGATGACATCAAGCTATCTGACGATGGCTGCTGTAAAGAGTGCCTTGAAAAACCAAGGAGTAAGTAATAATAATATGTGCCTTATAGGTATATTAGTCCATCTTGCATGGCAATTGAATAGGCAGAAGAGGTGAACAGTTTGGGACCACCACCTCACACTGGGGTGAGAAAGGAAACAGGTGGAAAAAGAAAGGAATGGAACATTTCTGGAATGCGCTTTGGAAAACACTGATATAGTGAACTTTCCCATCCCCTATTGTTACATGGTAGCCTTTTTGTGGGAGGCAGAGAACTATGACTGTTCTCCAACTTCCACATATACACATTGTCTTTAAGGAAGAAACTAAAGCCAGTCCTGGGAGGAGGGATGTGCATTGAGTAGCTGCCACTGTACTGCTCTTTATTTCTGCATCCTGCACCAAAGTTGTATAAGCAAAACAGAATTTTTTATTCATTGATAACACAAGCAGCAAGAGTCATCATTTGGCCCATAGCAATTAAAAGAGAAATGCACTTTGACCTAATTTCCCCTTTCTGTTCCATCCATCTCAGTTTTCTACTACAAACTGTATGTCATACACAGATACCTATTTACATACACATACACTTTAACATATTTTCCCTTGGTTTGTGACAACCTCAGATTGTACGAAGCACAATACTATGACTGTCATCAAATATCATGAATGTGTATCTGCTGCACCTGTTGAGATGACATACTGTGAAGGCAGCTGTGACGCTTACTCACGGTAAGTGGTACAAAAGATACTTGTCTCTTGTCTTCCACTCTTTACACTACTTACATAAAGCACATTGCAAGTGATTTTCTGATACATCCAACATCCACCCAGTCATCAGCTGTTTTCATTGTACTAACCAGATTTTTTAACAGACATGATGTTGCACTAGCTTAATTAGTTCAATACTCATGTTTTAACAGCCTATTCAGTGTCATAGTAGGCCCAAGTTTGGAGAAGTAGAAGATTATTTCTCACTATTCTTTCTTTTTGGACTGGCTTAATATGTGATCTGAATGAATTCATCTACTTTTTCTGTGCCTAAATGAAGAGCTAGAATCATCTATTTTTACAATAGGAGCAACTTACTTATATTTCTCCACAATATTATAAGAATTGCATTACTGATCGACAGTCCCACATGCAAGCCCACTTCTGATTATACTTAGTAATGAGTGGGAGGGGAAGTGGTATTTCTCACATAATTTCTGAATTTTTGTCTTTCATTGGTTTTGAAATCAGATATTCTCCCAAGGCGAACACGATGGAACATAAATGCTCGTGTTGTCAGGAAACCAAGACCAGCCAAAGAAAGGTGACTCTGACATGCAGTGATGGAACCTACCTTGATCACTCATACACCTATGTGGAGAAATGCAGCTGTGTGAGCGCTGAGTGCATTCCTCAAGTCAGCACCCAACAGGCAACAAACCAGATAAAGGCCTCTCAGGAACAAGCAAATGTCTAAAATCAGAACTATAGAGAAGTTGTCAAAGAAGAGTTGCACATAAAACTTAAAAAAAACTTTGAAAAAATACAAAAGTGTCAAAAGCAGCTAAAATTTTGGATGAACAGATGATATTTTCTGCATACAAACTCAATAGGTCTGTCAAAATTATTTCAGTTTTCATTACCAACATATCTCCGATTGTTTTTCATGTCTTTTGTTTTACACCTTGAGAGGTACAGCATAACATCATTTTGACATTTTTAGTTTTTTTGTCTTCTGAGAAGTGCTGTACCTTAAGACTGAGAGCTGGATTTACACTTGCACAAAGTCTATTATGAGAACAACATTCTTTTCTGGCTTGAAGCTTGCCTGTGGTGGCATAGTATAGACACTTGACAATATCTTGTGTTTCCATTGACATAGACTGACCTTTTTTTATAACATTTAATTCCAATTCATTGAGACAAATCAAGTGCTGAAGGCCAGAAAACAAGCAAACCAAACCCAAGGAAAAATGTACCCTACTGTTTCTTCATTTTTCTTTTTGCATTCAGGAAAACAGACTGCAGAAAGCCATACCTCCTCAAAACTATAAATTCAATATTTTGAACTATTTATAATGGGTAAATTTCCCTGTATATTGTCATGAGAAATAGAAAGAAATCCTATCATAAGAAGCTGCTGCATACTACTACTCTTTGTTTACATAACACCATCAGCATAGTAACTGTATGAAAATATGGAATTATTTTGTTTGTGGTTAACTGTTTACAGAAGAACTATATATATATTTTTGCCAACAGGGGCACATGAAGGACTTTTGTAAACAAAAGGTAATAATAATAACAATAATAATAATAATAATAAATGTAAATTCTTTCCTAGGAAGCTTTTAAAAGCTGAGCCACTGCTATTTATTTTGTTTTTAGAAAACTGATTTATTTGGTCATTTCTTTAAGAATTAATGTTCTCCCATTTCTTAGTCTTAGTCATGTTATCTGGGTGTGGTGTGTTTTCTTCTTCTATTTTGTTTTGGAATATTGTCTTATTTTTGTTCGTTACAAAAAACAGTAATGATGATCAATAAACTTTAAGCATTTTACAGCATGTCTCCCTTGACTTTTCAGTGAATCACTTACATGAGAGTTGCTGGCCCCTTAAAATATTTGCTTCCCATCCTACTGCAGCCATTTCTCAATAGCTTCAGGTCAAATGTCAGTCTAAACTGCGGTACCTAACCCCCTATAGAGCTTTGACACTGCTTTGAATGGAAGGCACTCAAAAGCTGATACTGAAAGGGTTCCAAGTCTTCTGAAGTGGCTTCACTTCAGATTCTATCAATTAGTAAGCTTTCAGTAAGCAAACACATCTTTGAGTCTGTACATACTTTGTAGCTCTGAAAGTTCTTTACCTGATGGACAGAACTATCCATAGTATTCCAAATCAATTAGTCTCATATTTTAGAGCTCACTGCAGCATACATAAATCTCAAACCTGAAATCGCACTGTTGTAAGTCTATAAGTTTTGACAGGTTACTATGCAGCTTTAGTTACACTATACATTGAACCAGCCACCAGAGATCTGACTGTAGACTGTATAATGCCAAGCAATATGTTTTACACAATCTACAAATGACTGCTCAAAGATCGGTAGAGGGAATAGTAAAAAATTAAAGGTGAAGATCTTTCTCCTAGCCCACAGTTTGGACAGCTCAGCAGAGGGAGTAACAGGGTAACAACACAGGCTTTCTGCAAGTGTCCCCCCTGGTTTCTCACCCATTTTTCTTTCACAGAAAGAGAACAATCCATATACTGCCCCACTCAGAGGTGAGCACTGAGTTCTCCCTGAGGATCACTAATAACGTCATACTTCCTGCTGGCAAAAATCCCTACTTCCTCCCAGCTTCCTGTTGACAACATGTAATCTCGCTGTCTTTTTTCCAGTCCTTAGGCTCTTCCACTTTCCAGTGAGGTCCCAGGTGGCATACTGCTCTGGTCCCTCCTCTCCACCTAACCCACCAGGCTTCCAATATAGCACCACTACTGAATTCGCAACCAGTTCAGTGAGTGACAGATTCTCTGGCCTTCCCAAGCAAACTAGGAAGTTGTTCATCTCCCACTCGTTCTGCAGAAAGGAAAAGAGATTGTCTATAATACAAAATCAATTATTCTGCACTTCTTTGGTCCACAGCAGCTCCTTGTCCACAGCTAACCCACTGAAATAACAGATTCTCTGCATGTTGCTTGAGCATCATTAGTTGTTTCTCCATGCAATGCCGGTATCTCAGCACCCAGCAGCGACCCTCTTCCATGGAAAACCTCCTGTGTGTCAAGTCTGTGACACTTCAAACAACTCAATGAAAGAGGGAAAACTAATATGATGAGGAAGAAAGGAATGAGAAACATATAATCTGTGGCACATGGGAAGACTAAGATATGATAATGACAGGGACAGCAAAGGCCAAAATCAGCCCAGAGTTTGGTGGCAAAGAAAAAAAAAGAAAGAGAAGCAAAGGAATGGACAGACTTTTTTTCTGGCATGGGGCAACAAGGAGGCAAAGAAACAAGGAAGGGAAACATAAGCCAAGGCAAACCATGAAGGCACACAGAACCTGTGCCTGAGGACATATTGAAGCATAGAAACATTAAAAAAAGAAAGAGAAGCAAAGGAATGGACAGACTTTTTTTCTGGCATGGGGCAACAAGGAGGCAAAGAAACAAGGAAGGGAAACATAAGCCAAGGCAAACCATGAAGGCACACAGAACCTGTGCCTGAGGACATATTGAAGCATAGAAACATTAAGGCTGGAAAACCCCTCTAAGATCATCAACTCCAACCATCAACCCAACACCACCATGCCTACTAAACCTTTGTTGCGGTGGGAACGAGGACTCGATCAGTATGATCCATAACAGTCAACTTTATTAGCAGAGAATCTGGATTATATAGACAGCACATAGACAGCACTCGGTACAGCACTTGGTTATGATTGGTCACTATTCATAAAGCATCTATTAATAGAACACCCATTTACCCGCAGCCGGCCTCTCGATGGCCTTGAGGTCTGTGCTGCTACAGACCGATCAAGTCCATATTCAGAGTGTCTGGGTTGCTCACAATATGTGCCTGTTCTTCCAGGAATCCCACAAACCATATCCAGAAGTGCCACATCTACAAGTTTTTTGAACTACTCCAGAGATGGTGACTCCACCTCTTCCCTGGGCAGCCTGTCCCAATGCCTGGCCACTCCTTCAGTAATTTTTCCTAATATCCAATCTAAACTTCCCTTGACACAACTTGAGGCCATTTCCTCTCTTGTCCTATTGCTAATTACTTGGGGAAGAGACCAACACCCACCTCACTACAACCTCCTTTACCCCCCCCTCACTACAACCTCCTTTCAGGTAGTTGTAGAGAGCAATGGGGTCTCCCCTCAGCCTCTTCTTCTCCAGACTAAACAGCCCCAGCTCCCTTACCCACTCCCCACAAGACTTGTTCTCTAGACCCCTCACCATCTTCGTTGCTCTTCTCTGGACACTCTCCAGTAACTCAATGTCTTTCTTGTAGTGAGGGGCCCAAAGCTGCACACAGTACTCCAGGTGCGGCCTCACCAGTGCCACGTACAGGGGCACAATCACCTCCCTACTCCTGCTGGCCACACTATTCTTGACACAAGCCAAGATGCTGTTGGCCTTCTTGGCCACCTGGGCACACTGCTGGCTCATGTTCAGCCAGCAGTCAACCAACAGTCCCAGGTCCTTTTCCGCCGGGCAGCTTTCCAGACACTTGACCCCAAGCCTGCAGCATTGCGTGGGGCTGTTGTGACCCAAGTGCAGGACCCGGCAATTAGTCTTACTGAGCCTCATACAGCTGGCCTCGGCCCATCAATCCACCGCTGTCCAGATCCCTCTGCAGCGCCTTCCTACCCTCAAGCAGATCAACACTCCCACCCAACTTGGTGTCATCTGCAAACTTACTGAGGGAGCACTCAATCCCCTCATCCAGATCGTTGATAAAGATGTTAAACAAGACCGGACTCAAAACTGAGCCCTGGCGAACGCCACTTGTGAACGGCCACCAGCTGGATTTAACTCCATTCGCCACCACTCTCTGTGCTCGGCCATTCAGCCACCTCTTTATCCAGCAAAGAGTACACCCATCCAAACCACGGGCAGCTAGTTTCTCCAGGAGGATGCTGTGGGGAACAGTGTCGAAGGCCTTACTAAAGTCCAGGTAGACAACATCCACAGCCTTTCCCTCATCCACTAGGTGGGTCACCTG